GAGAGATGGTGGAGAGATGGAGGAAAGATGTACGAGAGATGTACGAGAAATGGAAGAGATGGAGGAGAGATGGAGGAGAGATGGAGGAGAGATGGAGAGGAGATGGAGGAGAGATGGAGGAGACATGGAGGACGAGATGGAGGAGAGATGGAGGAGAGATGGAGGGGAGATGGAGGAGAGATGGAAGAGAGATGGAGGAGAGATGGAGGAGAGATGGAGGAGAGATGGAGGAGAGATGGAGGAGAGATGGGTGTAATAGTAGGAAAGATGGAGGAAAGATGGAGGAAAGATGGAGGAGACGTGTATTACAGATGTAGGAGAAATGGACGAGAGATGGTGGAGAGATGGAGGAATGATGGATGACAGATGTAGGAGAAATGGAGGAGAGATGGAGGAGAAATGGAGGAGAGATGGAGCAGAGATGGATAAGAGATGGAGGAGAGATGGAGGAGAAATGGAGGAGAGATGGAGGAAAGATGGAGGAGAGATGGACGAGAGATGTAGGAGAAATGGAGGAGGAATGGAGGAGAGATGGGAGACAATAGTAGGAGAAACGGAGAAAAGATGGAGGAGAGATGGACTAGAGATGTAGGCGAAATGGAGGAGAGATGGAGGAAGATGGAGGAGAGATGGAGGAGAAATGGAGGAGGGATGGAGGAGAGATAGAGGAGAGATGGAGGAGGGATGGAGGAAAGATGGAGGAGAAATGGAGCAGAGATGGATGACAAATGGAGGAAAGATGGAAGATAATCTGAGGGAATATGGAGGACAGACGAAACGCAAAAAAGATTTAAAAAAAAAACTCTGCCCCTCTCAACACGTCCTCCCTTCCCCTTCTCCCTTGTCCCTCCCTCCCTCCCTTTTACCTCGCTTCTCCCTCCAGTTCTCCACTCATGCTAATAAAGAGTGAGAGGGTTTTCAAATAGAGAGGGCTTTCCAAAAACGTCCTCGTGCGAGTTATCCCCTTCACATGAATGAAGAGCGAGAGGAGAAAGAGAATGAAGCCCCCTCGTGTCCCGCCCGAAATCCGATCGATCCGACGAACCCGAAAAAAACGAACTTATTACCTGCCCTGGGGGACGACGAGTTGGACGACGCGAGGAAGTGAGGAGAACGAGGGGAAGGAGGAAGACGACGGGCTGGAGAGGAGGACGACGAAATGGGGGGGTGGGTGGGGGGAGGAGGGAGGAGAACAGGAGGAAGTGAGGAGGATGGAGAGGAGTACGACGAGAGATAAGAGGAGGAGAAGCGGACGGGCAGGATGGCGACGGGAGGAAGTGTGGAGGAGGACAAAGACGAGGAGAAGCAGAAGAGGGGGGAGACGAGGAGAAGCAGAAGAGGGGGAAGACAAGGGGGAGGTGGAGGAGGAGGAGCAGCAGCGGAGGAGGACGAGGGGGAGGAGGACGATGGGCTGGTGACACTCGCCGTCGGGACAACAATATGGCGATGGGCGGGATGGGTTGCTCCTCCTCGATGGCCGCAACGACGATGTTCCTCCTCAACGGCAGCAACAACAGGCAAGATGGCGACGGGCAGAACGGCAGCACGGCAGTGTGGCGAACGACGACAAGCAGGACGACGCAAATAGCAGATGGCTGGCGGGACTTTCCTCTGCAAGTGCGTTTCGAACCAGGTGAGTAATGTCGTGAGTCGGGGTTTCAGATTTTGAAACCCCAAGGCGATTCGCGCTTAAGCGGAGGCTGGAATGTTTTTTTGGCGGTACCAGTCAGATTTTTGGAAAGGGGTCTCCAAACTGCCGGTTTGACCCCCGTTTTTTTTTTTTTTGGGGGGGCGGGGGGGGTAACTGCTCGTCGGGCGCACATTTGTGCGCTGCACGGGTCCGGTCCGGCGGTCCGCCGCACGTGCGGGAACCGCGCGGACGGCGTCTGCTTGCAAGTATGGTTTGAATTAAGAAAAGGGGAAAAGGAGGAAGGTGGGAGGAAGGCGTTTTGCTTGCGTTTGAACGGGTCAACCCAAGGCTGGATCCCTCTAAGTTGAGTGGGTTCAATTATTTTTGTTTGCTGGGCCGAATGTATGCCTTTTTAGGACTGGGCCTATCCTAAGTTGGACGGACCAGTCGCTGTTTCTTTTGAGGGTTTCTGAACAGGAGGACGGGCACCCTAAGTTGGGAGGACTCAGAATCCTGATGTTTCTTTTTGGGTTGCTGAAAACAGAGCTGGGGATATTCTAAGTTGAGTAGACCCAGTTCTGTATGTGTTTTCTTCTGAGGGGTACAAAGGCATAAGACTAAGCGTACCCCTAAGTTGGGGCGGCTTAGTCATAAGCTGTGAACGTAATGGTCAAACGAAAGTATAAAATTTTGATACATATTATACGAACTTGTATTATCTGGCAGACCGGGCACCCTAAGTTGGGAAAGCCAGTCAGTAAGTCAGGTAGAACAAAATGAGAAGAGAGACAACCGAAGAATATAAAGTGAAGGTAACCCGGGCAGACTGAGCGTACCCTTAAGTTAGGGCGGTTCAGTCTTATGCTCGTGATTATATAAAGGAGCAGAGAGTTAGTATAAATCTTCTTTTATTTTATTTTCCCTTTTAAACACAAGGCAGGGTTGGACGTCTCCCTAAGTTGGGTAGGTCTGACCATCTGCCTACTAAAGAAGAAAGGAAATTATACAGTTTCTACCAAAGTATTTGTTTGTTTCAAATTGTTGTTGCGGAGGCTAAGCGTACCCTTAAACTGTTTAGGCTAACTAGGCGTACCCCTAAGTTGGGGCGGCCTAGTGATATGCCCTTGTCGTGGATGTTATAGGTTGGACGTACCCTTAAGTTAGGGTGGTCTGACCATTCGTCGTTTGCATTTGTTTAGGCAGGTTAGGCATACCCCTAAGTTGGGGCAGTCTAGTCTTATGCCTCACGTTGTCAGTTAGGCAGAAGCCAGACATACCCCTAAGTTGGGGCGGTCTGGTCATATGCTTTATGTTCATAATTTATGTTGGGTTGGTCATACCCCTAAGTTGGGGCAGTCTGGACATACATTTTTGTCATGGAAGGTAGGCATACCCCTAAGTTGGGGCAGTCTAGTTGTGCTTACCCTATTTGTTTCACTTTGGCAGGTCAGGCGTACCCCTAAGTTGGGGCGGTCTGATTTCATGCCATAGGAAAGGGGGTTACTTAGAGTCAAAAAAATTGAGAGATTAACGAACTATTTGGATTAAACTGATGTGGGACTGAGAGAGATGTTTGTTTATGCATGTTTGCGGGCACTCGTCTGGGGCATCTTTTTGATAGCTTAGTTGCTTCAGATGCTCGCTGAGTGCTGGAGCTATAGGTAAGTGAGATGGATGATGGGAGGGAAGCTTGGGATGTGGTAGAACTGACCCTACTAGAAGTTAGGACCCGTGATAGCTCATGATGCAATCTTCAAAAGAGGATCATGTAAACTATCTCCAGTTCGAACTATCAAATAAGCGTCAGAAGTTTATCCCAAGTATAGTTGTACTTTGTCTTTGCGTTTTCGGCTTTATATTAATCTTGGTAGCCTCCTGTTCCTATGGGAAGCGATGCCGAAATTTTCACAAAGCTGAAAAAAGTTGGTCGTTTTTTGTCTCTTAAAAATTCTGAAAAGGTATTTTTCCTATGGGAAGCGCTGCCAAAATTTTCCAGAATCTGGAGAGTTAGATTATTTCTCAACTAGAAGAAGCTTGGCAATTCTTCTTGTCTAGGGGAAATGCTGCCAAAATTTTCGATACCTTGATACCAGTCAGGGGAAGAGTAGAAGGAAACTCGGTAGAGGAGCTAGGCTACGAAATGGAGGACGTTCTCCATTTGGCTCAAACGTAGTAGTGGCTCTCTTTGGCATGTACTGTGATGCATGGTTGGGAATTCGATTGAAGGCCCGGCTTGTTCAACCTGATACTACAAAGTATCATCTTCTGTTATCACTGATAACAGGCCGGTCGCCGATTCGTCGGTTTACGACACAACCTCCCTGCTTCTACATCTCAACCTAAGGCCTTGGCTCTTGTGGGTTTTATGTTTCTTGGGGATTTTTCACCCAAATTTCTTTTTAAGTGGCCATTTCTAAAGAACGAGTAGCTTTATTGAGGGGTGGTGGAAGTTGGTTGAAACTTGTATGCATAAGGCAGGGTGTGAGTCGCAAAAAGCAGTAAAGTTGACTCTCTTAGCGTGTGTGATGTTGTTGTTTGAATTTTGTGTGATTGCAGGTATGCTTATAAGACTTTGAAATGAGTTTGGTGATAGTCTGAGTATTGTCCGAATGCGGATGGACAAGCCACACAATTGATCGTCTAATACCACACAAACTTCTGCTTGACTATTTGAATTGCCCTTGCTTAGCATAGCTATAATGGTTGAAGGGAACCTTACAGTGATTGTGAGAAGTGATTGTCACGCACTTATCTCCCACTACATATATATGTACATACCTATATTGGGTGTTCGTGTGGACTGAGGAGCCCACGCTTAAAGGTCTGAATGAGGTCGAGATTGAGAAAGAAAGGAAAACCTCCTTTATTGTTGTATACTTCTTAAACATTTCTTAGTCGGACGTTGGTCCTGGGCTTGGAATCGAGGTCCTTGTCCAGGACATCCCAGGTCTTGGGCTTGGAATCGAGGTCCTTGTCCAGGATATCCCAGGTCCTAGACTCTGCGCGGAAGGGATCACCCCTTGCGCAGAGCCTAACTTGTCCTGCCCACCGGACACTCGGTCTAAAGGCCGGAGGTGTCGCGGGGGCCGCACGACTGTTGCTTCAGCCGTGCAATATCGTGAAGGGGTTGACCCTCACAATACCTCGAGATTGACACTTGAGCGTCATAAGCGGTACTCGGACCCACGAGGGACCGCTCGATTATGGGCACTACATAGTATGCCATCATCGCGACTGCTTGCGTATGAATGCATTGCTAGTTGATATGTGTAGGCCCTGCGTCCGCGCGGTTTTATACTAAGTCTTGCGCTTGTCGCTTATCTGATTTCCATGTTAAAAGGTTACGGGTCGGACACTGAAGGGACTAGTAGAGTAGAGTTTTGTTTTGTTTATGTGTGTATTTTTGAATTTTATTATGGTGTGACGTGTGGTGAGTGGATTGCGCCATAGTCGACCGACGACGTTTATTCAAGGGAGTCGTGCTTGGGACCTCCCCCCCCAATGCATCGAATCGCGTGCGGGTCCGATTGATGGGCGTTGGCCGCGCGTGCCCCCTATGCTACAGCGAACGAGAAACGCCCTCGGTCGGGCCACCTCTGCGATTGCATATGAAAAGCCTTCGCATGTGGTTCGGTAGCTCGACGGGGATACGCCCACCCTAGGGATGGTGACAACTCCCCTCGCGTGACCCTGTCCTGTCGTAGGGGCCCGCGAGAGGTACGAATGGCGCACTTGGCCGGAGCGGCACAACCGCGCTCTCCGCGACAAGTCCAGCAAAATCCTGCGTGACGCGGCCGGGAGGGTCCCCGTGCGGGACCAATGCGCGCGACACCGAGTCTACGTGGACCAATGGAAAGCCCAACGGCGCACCCGTCCCCTTTTGCCAGTGGGTGCGTCGAGTCACCGAGTTCCTCTGATGATCCACAACAAAAGTACGTGAGTAGACGCTTGGTATGCTGCGAAGGTCCGTGGACTGGGAGCAGGCTTGTCATGAGATCCGGGCAAGGAGCCAGCACACAGTATGGCTTATGAGCATGCATCTGGCACGCAGCGGAGGGCCGGGACACCGCGCCCTCCGACACTAGGCCGCTCCGTCCTCTTGCGCCCGGGCAGGTTCACGCACAGACCTCTCACAACTGACTACGAGGTCCGCGGGCGGCACATCTACAAAAGACTTTTCCGTTGTTCAAAATGTTTCCACCTCGTGACTGAATCACCCATCGGTTCGCATGCACGTTAACTTCCTCGGACCGTGTTTCAAGACGGGCAGRATAGAGGAATTTCGCCAGGATCCCAAACACGCAAGGATCCGAACGACTCCTCAAATCGGGCCCACGTCCGGCCTTAAAAAGGGATAAACAAAACAAAAGTAATACTAATAACAATAATAATAAAATAAAAATGTAATAATTATGAAAAAATAAAAACAAAGCCGCAAGACAAGGGGATAAAAAATGGCGCTAGGAGTTCCACCTCGGCCCCATGGCCGCAAAACCATGGGGGATAGCCCTACCGGGCCCTCAACCCCTTGGCTCCTGCTCCGATGCTCCCGTGCTGCCATCCGCTGGCTTCGATCTCTGAACCTCCTGGTTGAAAGTTAGGCACCGTAACGAAATAGTGCTATGTCCAAGGCTGAGTTTAGCATCGACGGACACCTATATAAGCGGGTACCACGCGGCGCGCGGGTCTGCTGAAACGCTCCAAAGCCACATCTCGGCCTATCAACTAATCCACGACCGCCAAGCCCTGTGGCTACCACGCGGTGCTTGTGTCCCCACTTTTACCCTTCCGTTCACTCTGCTCGTTACACAAGACCGTACCGTCGTCAACGTCGTCCTCCGCACGTACGCACATGTCACAGTCAAGCGTACCAATAAAAACAAATATCAATTAATCCTCAATTTAATTAAAACAAGAATTTGGTCGGCAACCACGCTGGCTTTAGCGCGCTATCTCAATTCCACTGGTGCATGCCAAATTTGGCTCAACCACCTGGCGGTCAAGGAAGGGGTCGACATGGAAGATTTACACACCAAGCTGGATTGGGACACTATCACCACCTTGTGGAAATTGCGTTTCATCGTGAAGACACAAAGGCCAAAGCTACAAACCAACTTTTCAAGATGTTTCAGGGGAGTCAACCTACGCGCGACTGGCTGACCGAATGGCAAAAGATCATTGCCGTTCCGGATCTGAACTTGCCGTTCAAACACATTCGACGCGAGTTTTTCCAACGCTCGGTAGACTCCTTGACATCGACTCTTGGATAGATGGAGGACTACGCCGACTTCGTTACAGTCATCACTCGGGCTCGAACCATCATCCAAACCAATCGGCGGGCCGCCAATGAACGACAAGGCCAGCCGAACTTTGTGGAGAAAGGCAAAGGACAACGGATGCAGCCGGTGGCTGCTGTTCAAACAAATGAACCAAATGAAGACCCGACATCGACTTCCGGGCCAAGTGAAGGAAGCCAACTCAGTGCCCTTCCGCCGCGACGCAACATACGAAAGCACAAGGCGAAACCAGCGTCGACAATGGAAGTCGGACAGCCGAACGAGCCGTGGAAGAAGTTTTGTTTGACGGAGGACCAATACAAACCCCTCCAAAAGTACGGATGCTGTTTTTGGTGCAACAGCACCAAACACACCCCGTCCCAATGCCCCGACAAGGGCAAAGAGGACATCCGCCCACGTCCTAGCTCGGGAAACTGAGTTCCACAGGAAGTGAGGCGACTCCACTTCCCATTCTGTCGGACACGGTTGCCTTGCTAGCAACCTCCTACACGCCTGGGGAGCACGGGGATGTCGCAAGTCTTTGGGAAGACTTCAAAGACTATGCTGTCCAACTGGTCCCTCCTTTGGACCTCCCTCTCCATGTGCATGATGCTCACGTATGCGCGGTTTCATCACTGTCGGCAAGCGAACCAGATTCATCGCCGACACTACTATGTGGGGACTCGCCGGTGTGGTCAAGACTTCAGGACCTCGACCCGTTGACAATGGAAATCTTCCAACGGTTGCCTTTCACCCGTACGGTACGCCGCCGAAACTGCATTGCAATGCCTTGATGGCGGAGTTATGGAAGTATTTGCACACTGCAGTACCAACTCCGTTAACGGATGACAGAGTAGCAGTTGTTGACCTTCACGAGTATATTGCGAAGATCAACCGCAAGTCCGCCATGCAACGGTACGACGATATCGACGCACCGTTACTCTACATCCGCATTTAGATCGAAAAGGCGACCTGCAGCGCCTTGATCGATTGTGGAGCAACTCGCAACTACATCAGCCAAGACTTCATGGTACGCGCCGGCCTCGGGCCGCGCGTTCAAAGGAAGTCGCAGCCCACGCAAGTCACGTTGGCCGACGGTCACAAGCACAAGTCCATTGACCGGTGCATTGACGCAATACAGGCACTTCGAGTGGGTCGTAATGCCATTCGGCCTCACGAATGGCCCAACCACCTTCCAAGCAGCAATGACGATGGATTTTTGTGACATGTTGGACCGTTTTGTGCTCATCTACCTTGACGACATCTTGGTGTATAGCCGAACCTTGGACGAGCACCTCGTACATTTACGCACCGTCTTGGACATGTTATGTACGGCCAAGTACAAGGCCAACCGAGCCAAGTGAGAGTTTGCACAACAAGAGCTCGAGTACTTGGGCAACTTTGTGACGCCGCAAGGCATCCGTCCGCTCGCGGACAAGATTCAGGCCATTCAAGATTGGTCGGAACCGACCAACACCACAGAGGTTCGATCCTTCATGGGATTGGTCGGGTACTATCAACGCTTCATCGGCAGATACGCACGGATCGCCGCACCCTTGTCGAAATTGCAGTCTCCAAAGGTGTCCTTCCATGTCACCGACGAAGTCCGGAGTTCATTCCTGAAATTGAAGATGGCTTTGCTCCTTGCTCTCGTCTCGAGTATCTACGATCCCACCTTGCCAACGAGAGTGACTACGGACACTTCCGACTATGGCATTGTTGCAGTTTTTTTCTGGTTGAGTACTTCAGCCAAAAGGTGCCTCCCATCAATTCCAGTGATGATGCGCGGACGAAGGAGTTGTTTGCATTCGTCACCGTACTTGAGCGTTGGCGACACTTCCTCCTCGAGCGTCGTAGGTTCACGTTGGCTACCGACAATAACCCATTGACCTATTATAAGACGCAAGACACGGTGAGCAGCACAATTGCTCGGTGGATGTACTTCATTGATCAATTCGACTGCGCACCGAAACACATTTCGGGTCTCTCCAACTGAGCCGCGGATGCTCTCTCGTGAAGATCAGATTTTTGCGTAGCGATTCACCACACGTTCGACTTGGACGACGACCTTCATCAGCACTTTGTGCGCGCATACAAGTCAGATCCGGAGTACACCACGCTTTATGAGCAGCTTTCCTAAAATCACCCGCTGGCCAGCCACTATCGCGTCACAGACGGGTACTTGCTCCTCCATTCACACGGCAAGGACTTACTATGAGTCCCACGAGACCGTTGCTTGTGGACTCGCCTACTCGGCGAGTACCATGACTCACAGCTCGCCAGCCACTTCGGAGGCAACCTTGCAATCGCAAGACTTCGTCAACAATTTCGGTGGTCCGACCTCATTACCGATGTCACTTAGTATTGCGAGTCTTGTGAAGTTTGCCGACGAAGCAAACCCCGCAATCGCAATCCCTACGACGAATCGCGCCCATTGCCAATCCCGCGGGAACCCGACCTCTCTATTGCAATGGACATCACCGGCCCATTCCCCCTCGATCGCCTCGGGCACGACGGCATTCTCATGGTCGTTGACCGTTTAAGTAAGTACGAGCTATTTCTTCCCTATAAGTACTATGCCATGGCTCCCGAGCTGGGGCATTTCTTGCACACCAGCTGGATTTGCGGCCACGACGTTCCAAAAGACATCGTCAGCGACTGCGACACTCATTTTATGTCGGCATTTTGGACTTCTCTAATGAAGGAGTCTGGCATCGAGATGAAACCGAGTTCGGCTCGGCATCCACAAATGGATGGGCAAACAGAGCGGGCACATCAAACTGATCAAAAGATGCTCCGTACGCTCATCCGTCCGGATCAGAAGGATTGGGTTGATCGCCTCCCCAACATTGAGTTCGCCTACAACACCCCGTTGCATCCGGCGATCGGTGTGACTCCATTCGAGTTACACCACGGTTGTCGGAAAGGCCGTATCCTCTCTGATTTCGTACTACCACTGACTGCCAACATTGACGCCCCTTTCTTTCCCGCCTCCATTCGGAAGTACCGGGGCTTGCTAGCTAAAGCCCGCATAAACATGCAAAAGGCTCAAGTTCGCATGCAGCAGCAAGCCAATAGGCGTCACGTGCCATGTCCTATCCGCGCTGGTGACCTTGTTTGGGTCTCCAGGGAAGAATTTGCGCTCGAGCAAGGCGTCTCGCGGAAGTTACTTCCTAAGTGGTGTGGACCTTGGACCGTAACATCAGCCGCAGGCGATGAGCCCAATGGCCCACCATTTGTGGTCGAGATCCCGCCGCATCTACCGGTCCACCAGGTTTTCCACGCCTCCAAGCTGGCTACATATACACCAGCCAAGAGCGACGATTTCCCGGACTAACAATTGCAGGAGCCTCCGTCTATGGATGGTCATCAGGAAGTCGACCGCGTCATCACGGATCGCAAGTACGGCAAACAAGTCAAGACGGTACAAGGTCAATTTCAAAGGATGCGACTGTGATGACACACGGTGGATATCACATGCAGATTAGCAAACCTCCGCACCACTTACTACGCTCACTATGAAAAGCAACGACTAGCGAGGGAAGCTTCTGCCCCTCCCACCCGGACTAAGGTCCCTCCCTCCGATGGACAGCTTCGTCCTCGCAGGTAAGCTCGGTCTTTCAAGGAGGGGGGGGGGTGGCATTCTGAGTACCACACGGGCCCCTATAGGGCCCAACCCGGTAGGATAGGGGATAGGCAGGGGGCCCTACAGGCCCCACGCTGTTTCGGTGAAGGTAGAGGCCCTCCAGGCCGGTCGTGGTAGACAGGCCTTCGTAGGTCGAAGTCCTGGCGTGCCGGTTCAGCAGCGCCAGGCCCCCACACATAGGCCCAGGTAGGCCGCAGCAGGGAAATGGGCCCTGGGCGCTGTTTTCAGGCCCTGAGCGCCAGTTTAGGCGCCAGGCCACTTTTCATTTTGGTGCCAAGGTGCCAGTTTGGGTACCAGCCACTGCTACTGGGCGGCATTGGCAAAAGAGGCCTCCCAGCCGGACCAGCCACTACATATAGCTGGTCCGCCAAGGAGGCCACAGGCATTCAGGAGAGTTTCGTGTAGAGGCTCCAGTAGTCGACGATAGCAGTAGGCTCCAACGTTCATAGCGCAGCTGCAGTACGACGCCAGAGAGAGAGAGAGAGAGAGAGAGAGAGAGAGAGAGAGAGAGAGAGAGAGAGAGAGAGAGAGAGAGAGAGAGAGAGC